AGCCCTCTACCTCTCCCTCCACCACCAGGACCATTATCACGTCCAACAGGTCTGCTCATTCCATGACCAGATCCACCATAACCCCCTTTATGAGGAATCCCAGGGTCCTCCCCTTCCCATTGTATATCCTCTGATGATATCTGCATCAAGTATCAATCAATATGTTTTTTATTTAACACATGCTAATCATGCTATGCTATATCACCCATCATTTTAACTTTCTACACATACCTCTGCGAGATTAACCCACTCCCATGTCTCATTTGCTGTACTAATATCATAAACCAGTGCATGCCGACCCTGAAAATATATATTTTTATTTATTTTTCAGCATAAAAAATTTGGAGGTGGGGCCAGGCAGCTGCAAGCAATTTCAAATTACCTCAACCGGGTTGTAATCTGTTATCACAGCTTCATAAAAATTGTTGTCATCAGGCCACCTGGTTCTCACTTTTCTTCCAATCAATGGGGAGAAAGCTGCTGTTTCAGCAGACTCATTTGCAAGTGGCCCAGAAGTCACACGATTACCAAGCTGCCCCCTCCCACTTGGCCCTGATGGAGGGTACTGCATTTTCAGGGAAGATCCTCCCCCCATTATCTGACCACCACCACCACCACCACCCTGCCAATTGCCATTTACAAATTACAACAAACATATCATATCATAATAAAAAAACAAAATACCAATGTGGCCTTACAGATTTCTTGTTTTTCCCTTTTGTCCCTGAGACAGGTGCTCTTCTAGCGGATGAAGAAGATGGTTGGTTTGGTGGAGGCACTGGTTGTTGTGGATGAAAAGAAGGAGATGGGACACCAAATGATTGAGAAGGTCCTGAAGAGTTTATCTTTTGTTTCTTCCGAGAGGCTGACACAGATGGACTTGGTAATGGATCATGAACAGCTTGCCCTGTGTTCAGAATCCCACTTTGAATCCCACCCGATTGTCTCCACTCCCTATTTTTATTTTTTATTTTAAAAAAAAAAAAAAAACAACATGGTATATCATTATCATCATATCATATTATCACTCAAATCACAAAGCTTGTTTTGTTTCTTGACAATATTGGACCTTATTCTCCGGATAACATCATCTGCATTTACTTTTCCCAAAAGCTCTCTGTGTTCCTCATTTGATAATCTCAATTCTTTTCGGAGCTCGGTTATTAAACCTTCCTTTTCCTGAACAAAAAAAAAAAAAATACACACATTTCAGTGAACATCAAACTAAAAGATGATCAAGTAAATATAACGACAAAAACCATACCCAAGTAATTGCATCAGCTTGGGCTTTAAAGGCTCGTAAAACGGAACTGTAAGCTTCCTGCTCAAGGTGGTGAATTTGGGCTTCCATGTCTGTTTCTGCATACATCCTTGGATATTGTACAGGAGCCATAACTGCAGATCTTCCATTACCTGCAACACGTCCACCTCTTGGAATTCTATTTTGATGGGAAGGCGGAAGATCATCATCAGTTCCTGCAATAAATCCAAACAATCATCATAAACTCACAACTTATGAGCCGATTCAGCTCATTATGACATGTTCTCAAGAATAGCTGGATAGCATCAAAAAAACTTGCTCATGGTGGCACATGTTCTCTTTCAGAACTGAGTAAAGATGGCCTTAGTCCTTATTTTCTTTTATTATGCCCTTCACCACATGAGCCACAGGAGCTGTGATTGCATCCCAATAAGCTCCTCATAAATATAACTGACATTAATAAAGTGAGTGCGTTCCAGACCTTCTCTACCCCTCGATTCCCATTTTTCAAAAAAGACAAGGATCCTTAACTGATAAATTAAGTAAAAGAAAGAAAACAAACAGCAATAGTGTAGGATCATCTACAGTACACTAACATATGTGTAGTTGCAACGCAATGTGGTATGAATAGATACTGGAAAAGCTCTATCCATCACAGGCAAACAGTACACGACATGTAATCAATCCTCACATCCATATTATATACAAAGGAATGTGCTTTCTACTCTTTTTATGGTTCCTACAATTGTCTGCTTCTTGAACATGATTCTCATCATTAGCAAGTCTCTACTCCTACGCTCTAATCTGAATACACTGGTGTTTATTTTTACAATAACAGGATGGAAACTCCATTCAATATCGTTTATATCCGGCCACAGCAAGTGTTGAGTTGGTGATAAATGTGATTTTATTAGGGTTTAGGTATTGCATGCTAGAGAGTTAAGGGCATTTGCAAATAAAATGGGTGCAGGTTTTATGCACAGCTAGACCTTCAAGGCTTCAACAACAACCAAAAAGATGTTCATAAAATTATGTTCGCCTAATCCATAACTTAAAAAATAGCATATGCCAAGGAAATCTGAAAGGCCATGAATTCCATACTTGATGGATTGGAGGGTCAAAGGCTATGATATCATAGGATCATAGGACGACTAAACAACATAGACACATAAAAGAAAACCAAGCATCTCAAAAGAAAGGAGAGGAATGTAGGAAATAAGTCAAGCATGGTGATTATACAAATGTAGACACATAACAGAATAGGTCTATTTGTAAGTCAGGAAGGGAAGAAGTATAGTTAAATGTAAAAGAAGATTACTCAAGGTCTAAGAGCCCTACTTGATTTATGTTTTATATTCTGCTATAGGCGACATTTGAATGCATCAATGCACTAACTACCAATTTAGCAAGCCAATTATCTTTTCTTAGATAAACCCATAACCAAGAACAGGGGGAAAACAGTTGGTGTAAATAAAAGAGTCACCTTCTCCACTCAAAAATACAACACATTGCTAATTTACTTTCTCCATATCATTGATACATACACCAATAAGGTAGCTCCCTCAATAATTCAAGTATACAGAACCCAAAATACTACCAAGCAAACAACACACTTCACCTGCACCAACCAAACTCTAAGCTTCACTTTCTCATTCTTTTAATTATCCCTCTAATTCAAAGCTGAAAACTTTCAACAAAATTCAACCAAAAGAATCCATCCGCCTGGCTAATCCAACACGTTCACAGCAACAAATTCATAATTCTAACGTGTTGAATTTGTGTAAACAAGATGCAGAAAAACAAAATTAAGAAAAGACAATGCTGGAAAAGAAAAACCAAGCGGAACGTATCGCACACTGATCGATAACAAATTCGCAACAAAATCGTAGCTTCCACCAAATTTCTGGAAAGGTGTTAGAGATTGAAGAGCTCACCGCTGCTATCGAAAGATTCGTAGTCCATAGCCAGCTTGCAAAATGAAAAGAATTATCAAAATCCAGAAGGATTAAGCGCAGAAAAACCCTATAGTCGCAAGAAGCTTCAAAGAAACGCGAAACAAGTCAAATTGAGCGCCGATTCGCCTCCTTAGGGTTAAATTTGACGTTTACGGTGAAAGTAATGAATGGATTGAAGGTTTGAAGGCAATGATTGAGGGGGAATTAGGGTTTGATTTGGAGTTTAGAAGAGAGTGATGACAAAAGGGGCGACGGGAGGAGGAGGCGCGGACTTGAACGAGATCTATATGGGGATTGTTTTTTTTAGGTTAATTGTTGGGTTTGAGTTCCGCCCCTTTGGGGTTTTGACTTCGTACTTCTCAAACACAAAACACAATCTTAGAGGAATTATGGGAAGTCATCTTGCCTTCAATGGGATGCATATAATAATTGCTATGATTCTAGAACGTTTATTAAATTAGAGTTTATTGTAATTTTAATGTTTTTGTAAAAAAATATATATCTATTCTATATGACTAATTTTATTTATTTAGACCATTCCAAGAGTATTGTTTTAGATGGCAATGTTTGTTTTCTGGATTTTGATTTGTTTGTTCTTGTATAGCTTTTCTATGAATGTGTATGTATTCTTTATTAGTTATCTTGTTAACTATATAAATACATGTTTGTCCTTAACAAGATTCCATCAAAATTTTGTAAGCTGGCCTTAACACTTATAGGGATTTAAAAAAAATCATTAGTTGAAGTTAACGATTCAACAAGACCATTGACTAGTTGAATTGTAGATGTTATGTTTCTTTATATTTCTTCGTTGGATTGTTGGGTTTTATTCTTTATTAATATATTCCTAAAGAAAGTAGTTATCTAGGTGAACTTGACTACCATTTTATCCGCTTCTACCACATATTTATAAGATATTTTGGTAATAAACTAGAGTTAAGAAACAAAAAAATCAACCGGGGCATGGAGCTGTGGAATTAATGCAATTACAAATATAAAGAATATTATCGTTTGATGCTAATTAATGATCAAAGAAATAGTAAACACCGAGATAGTTAGCACCTTTTGATGCTTAATTACTCATTTGAAGGTTAATTACTAACCATATTATTGTTTGTTTATATTGTTGATTGAGTTTTAATTATAGGTGATGTGTTTCTCGAATTTCCGAACTATGGATATCAATTCGGATACTAAAATCCAAATATCTGAAATTTCAGATATCCAGTTTTGAACATCTCTAGGTGTGGTGGTGATGAAATACTGTCAATCGTCATTAGTTAAAACAAACATACAAAAAAAGGATAGAAATGTTAGTAGGGGTCGGGGTGAGATGTGACTTTGTAGTGTCATCCATGTAGCTGGGGTTGTCCGATTAATTAAGATCCAATATGTGGAAAGTTCCATGAAATTTGGTCATTGGCAAAACATAAACAAAACGAAAGGCAACGGTAGTGGCGACTTGAGTTTGCGATGATGGATGTGGTGGAAAATAGGATCATGGCTTGTGGAGACGTTCCAAGAAGGAATTGGTGATGGAACGCCCCCACGGATGTGTGTGATACTCTAATATCAAATGAGAGGAATTCTTTTATATATATATATATATATATATATATATATATATATATATATATATATATATATATATATATATATATAAGGAGGTTAGTTTTTAGGAATAGTAAACTTATATGTTCTTTGGTAAAAATGGCCCTTGGATATGTTATTTCTGTTTTTTTTTTATCTGGGTGTTTTATGGAAATATTTACTTTCTTGTGTACATGTGTTTATCATCGTTTGGTTTATCCGCTTCCGGATCCTTCCCACCGCCTCAAATATCTTTGGTCAACGTTATCTCTCTTTTCTTCCACAAACCTCTCATCGCTTTTTCGCCCCTGCTGTTTTTGCGTAGTCCGATTATTAGTGGTGAGCAACTCGACATCGAGGGGATCGCGGTGCCTAAAGAAGTTGTCGTGTTCGCCGCCAGTGCAGTCGTCGGTGTCGCCGCGAAGCGCTTCAGAGAGCTGCGTTCACCCACCAGAAAAGCGCTTCAGAGAGCTGTGTTTTACTTCAAAGAACCGATTCGGTGTCTGCTCATCGGATCTACTCGGAGCTTTCACACATGGAACTCGTATGAAATTGTACAACTGATTACAACGTACAAGACGTCCTCCGTCGTCTCGCCGATTCCGGTGTTCTCCAGCTTCACCGCCAATCAGACGATCCTTGATGCCTTCATAATGTAGATTATTCACATTCGTTTGGTGTTGGCGTATTCATATAGTTTTATCGAATTAACTTATCTAATTGCAAATTTAGATGACGAATGATGTGGAAAACCATCAAAAAGTTCCCCTCCCTCCTCCACCTATCGTTGAATCAAAAAACTGGTATGATATTTTCCTCCAACAAGTTTTAGTATACATATTAGGGTTCTTGCAAGTTTTATTTATGGTTGTCAATTTCTTGGGTTTTGTTTCTTGTTTTTTGTATGCGCTTTTTCCTACGTGTGTGTTTCGACATCAAATACTTACCGTGTGCTTTTGGCTACAGGTTCAGGTTATCTTTGTGGAAATTGGTGCAGGATTGGTGCAGGATTGGTTCTTTCTTAATCTTAAAAGCATCTTCTGTTCTTTTTTGCTTTTTATAAATTTTAAATATTGAACGCTATTTTTCAGGATTTATGAATTTGATATTGACAATTTAACCCTTTAATAGTAATCAGGTATCCAAACAACTTCTTACCAACATGTTACTGTTTTCCGTTTTATTTTGCACATCTTCAAAGCATTAGATTTTAAATTTTGTTGACGTTACTTTTTTTCTTTTTCTAATTTTCTCATGCCAAATAAGGTTATAATTTTAGCAGTGGAAGCTTTGAAGTTCCCGGACCTTGATGGTAGAAGTAAACTACTCAGCTGGCAAATGTTTGAAATTGCCACTTACAAATTTTGGAACTAACAATGAATCAACAAACACTAATAGCCCGAAAGCAACAGTAAGGATATTTTGGTCTTTTATCAAAAAGGTTATAATTTCAGCAATGGAAGATTTATATTTCTTTTCACAATGATTCAACATTTTTGCTAAAAGACCAAAATACTCTTACTGTTGTGTGATGGAAATGGAGGGTTAGGTACACATTGTTGATGGCTCATCTCCACAATCAGACTATGAATTTGATGCAGTTAGACTTGACTTATAAATGTTCATTCCAGAACTTGCTAAAAAACCTTTTTATAGTTGAATACAACAAAATGGATGTTCCAGAAGCATTTGAAAAGTGGGAATCATTCAAATAGAAGCTTCTTTCATATGCGATTGAGCCCTTTTGCATTAGTGCAATTAACAGAGGATGGACTCGGGAGTTGATTAATGTTGCATGTGGGCTTGTAAGACAAGGAATAGAAGATTCAAAAGATGAAAGTAAGTTGAGTTGGGTGTTATTATCAAATCACATATATGTATGTAAGCAATTTGAAACATAATGTTCTTTTAAGAATTTCAATACAGAGAAAAGCCTCCACTGATAGATTTCCTCCATTACTTTTATTTCTTAAGGGAACCACAACAAATGGAAGGATGCTTATTTTATTCCATCATGGTTCATTTATTTCCATTTTTGGAGACAATATAGAGTAATTCAGATCATTCATACTAATTACGTTCTGTTTTATATTATTCAGGTTTTTCAAGCCATGCAATCAAAGCTTTTAAGCTTCTTAACAAAAGCCCATCTGCACAGGTATGTCTGCTTCTACTTGTGAGTTTCTTATGTATACCATAATTGAAGCAAAATCACATTTTAATTCCTTTCTTTTGGTTCTTACCAAAATGTTGGTGCTTCAATTGCTTCTGATCCAAATGTGTGGAATGTCGTTTTAAAAAACAAGGCCCTTGTGGAATTCCTCGACAATCATCAATCAAGTTAGTAACTTTTCAACTTAATTAACATTTAACAACACCTTTCGGTTCTTCTTCCATGGAAAAAGTAATGATCGGAATTTGAATAATCTTTTTAGGTGTTTTTTTTTCTTCAGAGTTTGGTCTAGATGGAAAGGGTTCTTCTACTGATGAGAGTGAATCAAAATCTGAATCCGGAAAGGGTTTCATGGATTATGTGAAGGACATCAAGCTTAAAGTTACAATTACAGTGGTTGACATGATGAACAATTTATCTGATACATTTCAGACCCTTTTCGGTGGTGCACCAAAAGGAGAATTTAGTGTGAATCCAGATGGAACTGCTGAAATATCAATGGAGAAAACCGCCATTGGAGCAACTCTTATGGGTTTGGCAATCATGGTTATTACTGTGGTGATAACTAAACGTTCTTAGCACATCATGTTCTTATTTGTCGAAACTTCAAGTTCTCTTTTACATGTTTTGCATATATAGTTTGCATACGTTTATGTTCACGACTTTTGTTATGAAACAATCCAACAGTTTCTGCTTTATGTTCATATGTTCTTCCCTCGCTTCTTTGTCGTATCCTACCCCCGCAACGCGGGGGCTCCCCACCTAGTTGATAAATTGATCGGGAATGCAAAAACAGCCAAATTGCAGACATTATCGTAGATGGGATTATGGTGGTAGAGGATTGTGGGTGTTTTTTGTAGAATTTATGGGGCAGGTTTATATTGATATGGAGAGCATAATTTGAAAAAGATGGGGAGAATAAAAGAATGTAATGTATTTAACAATTGTTTATTCTTTTGTTTTCATTACCAACCATAGGTTTGGTAAAATTAATTAAATGGCTTCTTCTTTTCATTAATCTAAGAAATTGATAGTTTTGTTATGAATTATTATTTAGTGAATGACTATTGATTCTCCATATTCCCCCATTACTCTCCATAATGAAAATAGAAATCAAAATAAAGACTTGTATGTTAAGGAATTGTTAGTTAAGAAATTCCATAAAATAAGTTGCAAGCATTGGCATGTAAAATTATAAAAAATACATACCTGAAAATGACAAGAACAATAAGGAGTTAGCTATATGGTAGAGTCGTGCTGATAACGTGTTATAAAATATGATCAAATAACAATATAAATTATAAAGTAAAGAAAGAAATAAAAGTAGAGAGAACTTTTATTCTAATACTTGTGATGAAATCATCAAACTTTACAATACATAATATTCACTATTTATACTAGACAAAGAAGATGAAAGGTGATGTATGATATGAATGCTCATTATAGTGGTGCATAACTACACTCATAAAACTCATAATAATGTTTGCTATAATGTTCACTAATTATGGAGAGTAATGGGGGAATATGGAGAATAGTTTTCCATAATGAAAATATGCTCCTGTAGTAGCAATATCATGAGAAATGTTTAAAATAAATATGAATTAATCTCATGTCTACTTGTGTCTAAACAAGATAATGATTTATTGATGAAAAATCACCAATTAATCGTGACCGGTTCTAGTGCATTCCCTGAAGTGAATGCAACATCATATAATCATAATAGTCATGGGTCTAACCGAGGTCATGGAGGTTATCATAATCATCATAAAAATAACAATATTACAAGCAACCACCAGAAGTTGGAAAATAGCAAAAATCCACATCCTAATGATAAAAGTGGTCAAGGCAAAAAAAAAAAAAAAAAAAAAAAAAAAAAAAAAAAAACGTTGAAAATGTTTATCACTAATGTGGAATGACCGATCATTAGTCTTGTACATGCCGCTTACCAAAGCATTTTGTTGATCTTTATCAAGATTCTCTAAAATATAAAGAAAAATATCGAAACAAATTTTATTCAAAGTGATATTCATGAAGATCAACCAGAAATGACAGATTTGGATATTGCCGATTTTCTTGTCTACCCAGAAGGGACAAGTGGTGATATGAATGGTGATTGGAGAATAATGTGTAGTTTTGTTTCATGACATTTATTATGTTCTTATGTCATATTCGTTTCATGAGAAATGATGTCGTCACAATCTTCCCAAAATAATAAAATATGACTTTATTCCTCTAAGTCGAATGTTTCTTGTGTTTTATTTATTTATTGAAGAGAAATATGGATATTCACAAAAGAAATGAGGAAGATATATGTCTTGAAGATAGTGCAACAACACATAGCATTTTTAATAATGAAAAATATTTAGCTTACTTATCAATTGGAGAAGCAAATGTTAATACAATAACGGGTAGTGCAAAAATGATCGAAGGCTCCGGAAGACCGAATATCATATTACCACAAGGGACAATAATTACAATTGGAGATGCATTATTTTCATCAAAATCACCAAGAAATTTATTAAGTTTTAAGGATATTCGGTCCAACGGATATCATGTTGAAACAACCAATGATGGTGATAAAGAGTATCTCAATATTACGAAAATGATATCGGGTAAGAAAAGTCTTTTGGAAAAATTACCCGTATTGTCCTCCGGATTGTATTATACAAATATTAGAATGATTGAATCTCATGCTATTGAAAATAAAAGGTATGATAACATCTACAAAGTTTGGCATGACCGGTTGGGCCATCCCGGATCAGTTATGATGCGCAAAATAATTGAAAGTTCAAGTGGACATTCCTTGAAAAACCAGAAGATTTTTCAAGCTAATAAATTGTCTTGTGTTGCATGTTCTCAAGGAAAATTAATTTCCCGTCCATCATTGAATAACGTTGGGTATGAAAGTCCTAGTTTTTTATAAAGAATTCAAGGGGATATATGTGGACCAATTAATCCACCATGTGGACCATTTAGATATTTTATGGTCTTAATTGACACGTCAACTAGATGGTCACACGTGTGCTTGTTATCTAGCCGTAATCTCGCTTTCGCAAGATTACTAGCACAAATAATCCTCCTAAGGGCACATTTTCCGATTACCCAACTAAGAAAATTCGACTTGACAATGCTGGAGAATTTACATCACAAGCTTTTAATGACTATTGCATGTCGATTTGGACAACTATTGAACATCATGTTGCATATGTTCATACACAAAATGGTTTAGTTGAGTGTTAATCAAACACTTTTAATTAATTGCAAGACCATTACTAATGCATTCTAAACTTTCTATATTGATATGGGGCATGCAATTTTACATGCAACATCACTTATATGCATAATGACAACTAGTTATCATGAGTTCTCCCCTATTCAACTGGTTTGCGGTTAGTAACCAATTATTTACCATCCAAGGATGTTCAGATGTGCAATTTATGTACCTACTTCTCCACCTCACCGCACAAAAATGGGTCCTCAAAGAAGAATGCGAATTTATGTTGGATACGAATCTCCATCTATAGTAAAATATTTAAAATCATCAATTGGAGATTTATTTACAACTATATTTGATGATTATTATTCTGATGAATCATATTTTCCAATATTAGGGGGAGAAATAAAGAAGCTGGAAAATAAAATCTCTTGAAAGGAATTTTCACTTTCAGTTTTTAGATCCTCATTCAAGTCAATGTGAACTTGAAATAAAAAAGATAATTCCTTTACAAAATGTAGCAAATCAATTGCCAGAAGTATTTACTGACCCTAAGTGGGTAACAAAGTCTCAAGTACCAGCTATACTTACTCAAGTTATAATTGATATCCCAGAAGGAAGAAAAAAAATACATCTGCAAGTGAATCTTAGGCACGCCTGAAGCGTGGAAGATCAGCCAGTTCCAAAGATAAAAATCCTCGAAAATGAAATGAAGCAAATACAATTGATGGTCCAAAAGAGAAAACATAATCTCTTGAAAAGATTAATGAAGCTCTAGAAGAGCCTAATGACATAACAAAAGAATATAAGGTACCTGGAAAAAAAAATGAAAATGATGAGATGTCGATGATAATTTTTCATAAGACAGAAATCGACGATAATTTTACATATCATTTTCCGCGCACGATTATAAAGAAAATGAGGATCTTGAACATAAATATATTGAGTAATGTATGAAGAGAAATATTGGCCAAAATGGAAAGATGAAATAAATAAAGAGCTTAATTCTATTACTCAACGAAAAGTTTTTTGACCTGTAGTCCGTACACCAAACTTAGTAAGAACAGTGGGACACGAATGGGTATTTATGCGCAAACGAAACGAGAAGAATGAAGTTGTGAGATATAAAACAATATTGGTTGCACAAGATTTTACCCAAAAGCCCAAAATTGATTATGAAGAAACAAATTCTCCGGTAGTTGATGCAATTACATTCAATTATTTTATAAGTTTAACAACATATGCAAAACTGGATATGTGTCTAATGGATGTATTTACCGCTTATTTATATGGTTCACTTGAAAATGATATTTATATGAAAATCCCAGAAGGGTTTAAGGTGCCAGAAGCACAAACTCCTAATTCTCGTGAAATATATTTGGTAAAATTAAATAAATCTTTGTATGGATTGAAACAATCTGGCCGAATGTGGTTCAATTGTTTAAGTACATTTCTTTTAAAAGAGGGCTATAAAAATGATCCATTAAGCCCATGTGTATTCATAAAAAGATCCGGATCAGAATTTGTGATAATTGCTGTTTACGTAGATGATTTGAACATAATTGGAACTCCTGGAGAATTGGAAAATGCCACTTCTTGTTTGAAAGAAAATTTTGAAATGAAAGATCTTGGTAAAACGAAATTTTGTTTCGATCTTCAAATTGAGCACACCAAAAATGGAGTTTTTATACATCAATCTAGTTATCTAGAAAAGGTGCTTAAAATGTTTTATATGGATAACTCACATCCATTGAGTACCCCGATGGTAGTAACGCACTTAGATGCCAAAAAGGACCAATTTCAGCATCATCAAAACATGAAAATCTTCTTGTTCCCGAAGAAGTATATCTTAGTGTTATTGGTGCACTAATATATATTACTATTCATACAAAACCTGATAAATCTTTTGTCGTAAACTTATTAGAAAGACATAGTTCCTATCCAACAAGAAGATACTGGAATACAGTCAAACACATTCTTTGATATCTTCGAGGTACATTGGATATGAATTTAAACTAATCAGATTTGTAAAATGCGAAGTTAATTAGTTATGCAGATGATGGATTTTTATCTGATCCACACAAAGCTCGATCCCAAACAGGTTATTTATTCACTTGTGGAGGTAACGTAATTTCTTGTCATTTTGTTAGACAAACTTTAGTAGCTACGTATTCTAACCATGCAGAATTTATAGCAATTTATAAGGCAAGTCATGAATGTATTTGGTTAAGAAATTTAACTCAATACATTTGCAAGATTTGTGGTCTAACTTCTAACAGGGATGTTCCAACCATACAATATGAAGATAATACAACTTGTATAGCTTCATTCAATGAAGGATTTATCGAAGGAGACAGAACCAAGC